AATATAATATATTAAATCAGATTAGATAAATACATAGAATCGAAACATTGACTAATATTCAAATTACACAATATAAAAATAGATCCAATAGATCCATGGAATCTTAACACTGATTAATATTCAAATGTACGCCTTAGATTAAATCCATAGTATTTAAATACTAAACCATATTAAATATATTATATATATATATAAAATATCTTTTGGGGTTTTTTTTCTTTTTTATTCTTGTCATTTCTGACTAGAAGGATTTTTTAACTTGAACTTCAATGAACATCTCTTTGTTCCCACATCTAACCATGTTTCTCTATCTCATTGTTCACATTTCACACTTGTTCCCTTCGGTGTATTTTGTTTGTTTTTCACCCACTCATTTTATCACATTTCACTCTCTCATTTTCACATTTCGTCATCCCCTCTCCCTCTGGTTCATTTTGTTCACATTTCGTACCCTCTCATTTATCACATTTCACTCTCAGTTTTCACAGTTCCTCTCTCATTTTATCACATTTCACCCCCTCATTTTATCACATTTCACCACCATCATTTTATCACATTTCACCACCACCATTTTATCACATTTCACCACCACCATTTTATCACATTTCACCCCCTCATTTTTCACATTTCACTCTCTCATTTTTTTTTCACATTTCACCACCACCATTTTATCACATTTCACCACCACCATTTTATCACATTTCACCACCACCATTTTATCACATTTCACCCCTCACATTGTTCATATTTCACCCCTCACATTGTTCACATTTCACCCCTCACATTGTTCACATTTCACCCCTCACATTGTTCACATTTCACCCCTCACATTGTTCACAGCACGGACACGGGAGATGGGGAAGAGGGAGAGGAAAAGCATACAGTGATTGCTACTGCCAAAGGATTTTTCACATCAAAAGGAGGAGTCTTAGAAGCCCCAGGTATACTAAATGATGGGAGATTATTCTTGATGGTAATTGGGAGGCGCTCGTCAAAATAGGGAAATCAAAGGAACAAGCATTTGTGAGGTGTGCTGACAAAATGAGTTACTTCTCGCTGACCAAGAATGGAGATATCGGCCCAAAATCGACACTGCGGTCAGATTTATAGATATCTAATTGATGCCATTTTTGTTCAAGTCTACCGTGTCTTTCATCATTCCATACTTACAAATTGTACAAACTTCACCTATAAAGTTGATGTATCAATTTCCATAAAGCTAAAATCGGAGAAGTAACTCATTTTGTCTGCACACCTCACATTTGCTATGCTCATTTGGCAATTGTTCTCGAATTTTTTAATTTTTTTTGGCTGAACTCCTTTCACGTCCATTTAAAAACACATTAATTGTATGTATAGATTTTACTGAAAAATGTTGATAAAAGGCATAAAAAATATACAAAACTTGCAGTTTCAAAGGACTCTAAAGCTTTGGCGGACATTTTCTCGCTTATTCAACCTGTGACACCAGGAGACTCCACCTCCTTCAATCCCAAATATCTTGACTTCTTTTCAAGATTATTGGACACTTTTTCCTTAGAGGAATGAACATGCTTTAGGATGATATCAACAAGTCCATATGTGAAGCAGCGTGGTGGAATCAGGCTCTCATCAAAATAAGTGAAGAAACTTGCATTTTTCCGCAGGTTTGTGATTTTTTATCAAATGTTTGTTTTTTGGATCAACACCTTTCATGCCCATTAAAGACCTCATTCTCGTGTGAATTTTTCTGGAAAAACGTTGAAGACACAAAAAATGTAAATGTTCTGTTACCCCAGACCCTTAAGCTAAGTAAACAACAAATCTTTGGCCGCCATTTTCTCACTAATTTTACCTCTGAAAACAGGTGACCCCCACCTCCTTCTTTCGCAAATATCTCGACTTGTATACAAGATAAATGGATATTTTTTTCTCCAAATAAAGGCAAGTGAACAAGCTTTAGGATGATACCAATAACTCTCTATGCCCAAAAATCGACAAGCACCTGATTCCATCACGTCGTGACACAATATATAATTTTCAATCATCGTGAGGTCGCAGGTTTAGGGGTTCGAACCTCCGGCTTGATATTGTGTCCTTGGGAAAGGCGCTTATTTAGACGAATTTTCCTCAAATGATGTTTATTATTAGGCTGTTAAATCTTTTGACTGATTAGTGATTGTTATCGATTGTAAACATTTTTCCCTGCAGTTAATGCAGTTAGTGTAGCAGACTACAAGTTTCTCAACATTTCAAGCTTTTTCGAATGCAGTTCTTTGAATATCTTGATGACGACTCCAAGTGATCTTCCGATTTTGATACCTCAGACAGATTTTTGTGGTTTCTGACCTCATGGTCTTAGTAACTCAAAATGGCCCCAACTGTCAGATGGAACCTTGTCATTTTAAGATAACGATTATTTTGTGGACGATGTGAGTTCAGATCCTGTGAGGGGAGGGGGGGGGGTTCTCTTGAGTACACTGATATCCACCTAAACCAAACATGGTTAATCCTGGAAACAATGGTAAACCGAAATACAATAAAATCCCAGAATCCTTTTTTATCTTCTAATTGAGCAACGTGGCTAAACCGAATACCCGACAAAACCATAGAAAATCTGGAGAGCCTGCAAAACTTATTTGGTTTAAGCGAACTCCAGTGAAATTCTATCTGTCGGTTGGGATGTTGTTTTCCAAATTTTCTTTTATCGTTATTTATTTATCTATTAATTTACTAATTTATTATTTTTTTCAATTTCTTTCTTTCTTTGTTTTTATATTTATTTGTTCATTAAAAAAATAAATAACTAATCTATTTATTATTGTTATTGTATTCTTTTTTGCAGACACTGGGGTGAGTATTTATATCCCCGAGGGGGCCATCAACGAGGGGAAAGAACAAGAGATTTACTTCAAAGTTTGTCGAGATAACAGTTTGTTACCTCCCCTGGATGCGGAGAAAGGTAGGATTGTTAATGATGTGGTGTGATTTTGGTGGAGTTGGAGAAGAGAGGAGGAGTGTGAAGGGGAGAATCAGGGGGGTGGAGAGGGAGAGAGAGAGATAGGGAGAGGGGCAGGGAGGAAGAGAGAGAAGGGAGAGAAGGAGGGGCGTGAAGAGGGAGAGAGAAAGAGAGAGAGATAGGGAAAGGGGCAGGGAGGAAGAGAGAGAAGGGAGAGAAAGGTACTCTGTGAGTGAGTATGTGTATGTGTGTGTCTGTCTGTGTGTGTGTGTGTGTGTATGTGTGTGTGTGTGTGTGTGTTTGTTTGTGTGTGTGTGTGTGTGTGTGTGTGCGTATGTGTGTGTAACTAGTGCACAGAATAATTCAAGGTAAAATAGACACTGGTCCGTAGTAAAATATAAGGATAATATGTTTTCACAAAAAAAAACCAACAATACGTGGGTGAATATCTGTGTGGGAGCTCATGCATGTGTGCATATCATCACTCCCATCTTAGGGGCTTACAATTTACACTAATTGTTTTTATGGAGAGCAGTTTTAAGCCCCATCCACTACAGTTTAGACATCAACCACCAAGAGAAATGCTCTATTCTGTCCTAAGCTGGAAAAAAACGCCTTTTTATCTTACCAGCAGTTTGGCGGAAAACAAGTCATTTGTCAGAGTAACTATTTAGAAATAGATTCCAAATTTGAATTCTAATTTATTCAAAAACTTGTCTTAGTTTCACTTAAAATTTTTCTCGTAAGAAGGGTAACTGATCAGGCTTTCGATTTAGCAAATAAAAAATGCTGGTACCAATATGAAAAAAGGCACTCTGTCAGCTTACGGCAGTATTAGTCTTAAGTCATTTTACATCCCATCAACTACACTTTAGACATAATTAGACATACCTTTTATTTCATACTTATAAATTGTAAAAACTTCACCTATAAGTGTGATGTATCTATTTCCTATATATTGTAAAAGCTTCACCTATAAGTGTGATGTATCTATTTCCTATAATATATTGTAAAAACTTCACCTATAAGTGTGATGTATCTATTTCCTATATATTGTAAAAGCTTCACCTATAAGTGTGATGTATCTATTTCCTATAATATATTGTAAAAACTTCACCTATAAGTGTGATGTATCTATTTCCTATATATTGTAAAACCTTCACCTATAAGTGTGATGTATCTATTTCCTATAAATTGTAAAAACTTCACCTATAAGTGTGATGTATCTATTTCCTATAAATTGTAAAAACTTCACCTATAAGTGTGATGTATCTATTTCCTGAAGGCCTGAATCCGAGAAGTGACTCATTTTGTCAGCTCGCTTCACATAATATGTATCAAGAAAAGAGAGCCATTTTAATCCCCCAGAAACAACAATTAGGACCATGATATATGAGGCACCCGGGTGAAATCAGGCGCTTGATAAAATAATAAAATCAAAGAAGACGCCATTTTTGCGCCAGTTTGGCAATTTTTTTCAAATTTTTGTTTTTTCGCTTGGCGTCTTTCATGTCTATTTAAAACGCATGTCTATGTGGAATTTACAGACAAATGTTTAAAAGCACAAAAAATGTAAATTTTCATGTCTCAAGGACTCTCAAGGACTCTCAAGGACTCTCAAGGACTCTCAAGCTATAGAAGTTACCAAACTTTGGCCGCCAATTTCTCAATGAATTTACTATAGAAACCAGGTCACATCACGTTCTTTTTCAGTCACAAAAATCTCGAATCTATTCAAGATAGATGCGTATTTTTTCTCGGCGAGTGCAAGACAAGTGAACAAGCTTTAAGATGAACCATTAATGCCACCACATGCCCAAACATTGACGAGCGCCTGATTCCACCACCTCGTGCCATAATGAGACTTTATCACAGTGAATACAACCAAAGATAGTACATAACAAGATGGGCCACTTCTCTCTTTGAGCCAATTAAAAAAGTGTCCTCAAAATTTGGTGGCGCCCTCTTCACAAAAGCGCACTCTTTGCGAACAGAGTTACCCTACTTGAGTTTTTAAAAATCAAAGTGAAACTAGCAAGTTTTGGGATAAATTTCGGAAGAACGCTTTTTTAAAATGGTTACGCTGACAAAAACCTCTTCCGGAGGAAAGGGTGATGGTTTTCTTCGTTTAATTTGACTTTACAATGAAAGGCAAGAGGTCATTAAAAAAAAATTTTTTAACTAAAACTCCGCACTGAACGTACCCGAACTGCTGATGAACAGCAGTCGATCTGCGCACGCAAGGAGGTGCTATTCCTATTCTTCTTCTGGAAAAACGAAAGAGAGCTTCAAAACAGACTGCAGCGCCATCTGAAGCAAAGAGCATACTTCCTGCGGACACTTTTTTGGCTGAGTGGCCCATCTTGTTATTTACTGTCTTTGATAGGACACAAAATAACACAATTTAGACTAGTTATCATTATGAAGAGACATAGACCTACTGCAATTTAGACTTATAATAATCATTATGGGCCAACGCTCCTAAACCATTTTTAGCCCCCCATTGACTACAATTAGGACTATTTATCATTATTTTAAGCCCCCATTGACCACAATTTGGACTATTTATCTTTAAGAAAGAACCATTTTGAGCCCCCATCGACTACAATTAGGACCATTTATCACTATTTTACACCCACATTGACCACAATTCGGACTATTTATCTTAGAGAAAGAGACATTTTAATCCCCCATCGACCACAATTCGGACTATTTATCTTAGAGATAGAGACATTTTAATCCCCCATCGACCACAATTCGGACTATTTATCTTAGAGAAAGAGACATTTTAAGCCCCCATCGACCACAATTCGGACTATTTATCTTAGAGAAAGAGACATTTTAAGCCCCCATCGACCACAATTCGGACCATGCTGTCTCCCCAGGAGAGACCCTCCTCAGCCCTCTAGTGATGTGCGGCCCGCACGGCACAGAGTTCAACAAACCTGTGGAGCTCCGCCTCCCACACTGTGCCTCGGCCAATCCAGAGAGCTGGTCATTTGCCCTCAAGTCCAGCGACTCTCCCTCAGGTGAGTTTTTTAGTTTTGAGTTTTGAGGCATTTTCAATATGTCTAGGTCGTATAAGTGTAGAATATTAAAGGCGTTTAGGTTTTAGTTTTGGTAAGCAAGAGTTTTACTGCACTTTCAATGTGAATCAATCATATAATCGCTGGTCGTTTGCCCTCAAGTCCAGCGACTCTCCCTCAGGTGAGTTTTTTAGTTTTGAGTTTTGAGGCATTTTCAATATGTCTAGGTCGTATAAGTGTAGAATATTAAAGGCGTTTAGGTTTTAGTTTTGGTAAGCAAGAGTTTTACTGCACTTTCAATGTGAATCAATCATATAATCGCTGGTCGTTTGCCCTCAAGTCCAGCGACTCTCCCTCAGGTGAGTTTTTTAGTATTGAGTTTTGAGACATTTAACATATTAGGTGGTATAAGTGTAGAAGATTAAAGGTGTTGTAGTTTTTGTTTTAGTTAGCAAGAGTTTTACTGCACTTGCAATGTGAATAGGTCATAATAATAATAAATAGCATTTATGCTGCGCATTTCCATTTTCTAAAAGATGCTCAATATGCATTACAACGAAAAAGACATCACGTCTTAAAAATTAATCGACAAGTGCGTACATAAAACAACGTATTATACATATAATATAAATGCATATGTGTAAAATTTTATATGAGAAAAATAAGTCATAAAATTGCTGGTCGTTTGCCCTCAGGTAGGTTTTCCTTTTTGAGTTTTGAGTCATTTTTAACACAAAATTGATCATAAATATATATATTATGCACTTAAGTCTGAAGTACTTGCAACACAGATACTAGGTCCCATGTGCTGAAGATTAGAGGTGTACAAATTCTAGTTTTTAGTAAGAGTTTTACGGCACTTGCAACACAAATTATAGTAAAGTACGGGGGGAAAATGTCTAAAAATAACTCAATGACATGACTTCTGCAGGGGAGACAACTGAGTGGCACAACATGACGCTGGCGGGGAGCGAGGGAGGGGCTCGTGGCACGGTGGACAAGAGCAGTGTGTCGATTCTGGTGGATCATTTCTAGCCACACGCATACACACACGCACGCATACACGCACACACACACACACACACACACACACACACACACGCACATGGGCATGCGGGATCTACGTGATTGGTGAATGTAGCCATGTAACTTTTGTGACCTGTGAATGGTGTCATGTGACTTGTGAATGGTGTCATGTGACCCGTGAATGATGTCACATGACTTGTGAATGGTGTCATGTGACCCGTGAATGGTGTCATGTGACCCGTGAATGATGTCATGTGACCCGTGAATGATGTCATGTGACTTGTGAAGGTTGGTGAAATCGAGTGCTCATCAATATAATGTCATTGAAGAAATTGGCATTTTTCCGCCGGTTTTGAAAATTTTATCGAAAGTTTGTTTTTCGGCTCAACACCTATTATGTCCTTTTAAGAACCCATTTCTGTGTGGGTTTTTCTGAAAAACGTTGATTTAAGGCACAAAAAATGTAAATTTTCATTATCCACAGACTCTCAGGCTATTTAAATAACCGAATTTTGGCAGCCATTTTTTCGTTAATTTTACCTCTGAACCCAAGCGACCCCCACCTCCTTCAATCGTAAATACCTCGACTTGTGTTCACTCGACTTGTGTTCAACATAAATGGATATTTCGTTCACAGAAAGTAAGGCAATAGAACAAACTTTCAGATGATACCAATAGCTCGACATGCCCAAAAATTGACGAGCGCCTGATTCCACCACGGCGCGACAGATATGACTTGTGAATGTTATTATGCGACCTGCTTATGCCGTCATGTGACTCGCCAATGTTGTCAAGTGACTTGTGTGACCCGAGAATGCTGTCATTTGACTTGTCAGTGTTGTCATATGAGAGAGAGAGAGAGAGAGAGTGTGAGAGAGAGAGAGAGAGTGAGAAAGAGAGAGAGAGAGAGTTGTTGTTGTAATCGATCCAGAGAGAGTAAGACGGAGATAGTGAGAGTGAAGAAAAAAAGAAGAGATCAGAGAGAAAAAAGAGAGAGAAAGATAAAGAAGAAAGAGGGAGTGATGAAAGAGATAGAACAAAGAGAGACAGAGAGTACCTTAGAATGTTTACCTGCTTTCCTCTAACTTTCCTCATCATCATCATCATCATCATCATCATCATCATTACCATCATCATCATCATCATTATCATCACCACCATCATCATCATCATCTTCATCATCATCATCATCATCATCATCATTATCATCGTCATCAACGGGTGCTTGACCTCTCTCAAATTTTTCGTATCACAGAAATAACCTCTTGTTGGATCAATATTAAAATCCAGGGTTTATTTCTGTACTTTTCGCTCCCCGAGAGAGGCCGGTCTGATGAGGTGCTTTTAAGGTTGGCTGGGATCATAATCCATACTGTATATATCCTTGCCTATTACACAACCTCACCTATAATATGGGGGGGGGGGGTAAATTTTGACTCCAAAATTGGCCCATTTTTTGTAGGTGGCGCGTATAATTCAGGGGAGATTTACTGATATAATGGAGGGGGAGTGTGCTCAATCTGCCTGCCTTTAGTCAACATTTGGTTACCCCCAGAATTACAAACTTCTCTAGATCTGACACTTTTGGCTGTTTTGAGTTACGAAGACCATGAGGTCAGAGACCATATGTGAGGCAGCGTTGTGGAATCAGGTTCTCGTCAAAATTTGGGCATGTAGAGTTATTGGTATCATCTTAAAGCTTGTTCACTTGTCTTTATTTGGATGAAAAAAATATCCATTTATCTTGAATACAAGTGGAGATATTTGCCAAAGAAGGAGGTATATAGGAGTCACCTCTTTTCAGAGGTAAAATTAGTGAGAAAATGACCACCAAAGATTAGTTATTTCCTTAGCTTAGGAGTCCGTTGTAACTGAAAATTTACTTTTTTGTGCCTTTAATCAAAGCTTTTCAGAAAAATCCAAACAGAAATGAGTTCTTTAATGGGCATAAAACGTGTTGAGCCAAAAAACAAAAATTTGATAAAAAATCACAAACCTGCGGAAAAATGCAAGTTTCTTCACTTTTATTATTTTGACGAGAGCCTGATTCCACCACGCTGCCTCACATATCTTCTATCTGCTCTATCAAAACCGTAAGATTATTCGGAGTCGTTATCGAGATATTCAAAGAATTGCTTTAGAAAAAGCGTCACGTGTTGTGAAACTTCAGAATTCTTTACCTCATTGCGGATACGCATTTTGTTCATTCAAAAGCTTGAAGACACGATGTTCCACAATACTAAAAAGAAGCATAACTTCGTTATTCATACGGAGTTTTCAATTCTGTTTCCTTTATCTGACGCTTAAAAAGACATGACAATAATGTATAAGCCCACTATAATCTATGCAAACTTGTGTTTCTTGTTTGTATGATGGTTCGAAATATCCAGCAACTTTATTTTTGATCTGCTGCTGTGGGACATAATTAATATTGTGAGGCAGCGTGGTGGAATCAGGCTCTCGTCAATTTGGACTGCTATACATAAATATGTGAGGCAGCGTGGTGGAATCAGGCTCTCGTCAATTTTTGGCCATGTAGAGTTATTGGTATCATCTTAAAGCTTGTTCACCTGTCTTTATTTGGATGAAAAAGTATCCATTTATCTTGAATACAAGTCGAGATATTTATGAAAGAAGGAGGTGGAGGTCACCTGTTTTCAGAGGTAAAATTAGTGAGAAAATGGCCGCTAAAGGTTGGTTATTTCCTTAGCTTAAGAGTCCGTGGTAACTGAAAATTTACATTTTTTTATGCTTTTAATCAACGTTTTTCAGAAAAATCCACGCTGAAATGAATTCTTTAATGGGCATGAAAGGTGTTGAGCCAAAAAACAAACATTTAATAAAAATTCACAAACCTGCGGAAGAATGCAACTTTCTTCATTTTGATTTTTGTGACGAGAGCCTGATTCCACCACGCTGCCTCACATATGTGTCCACTTCGTCATTAATGAGTTAAAGTCAAATTTCTCAAAATAAGGAACTGAGCAGATAGAGCTTTGTCATTTTGTCATTCTAGAGTGACGACTTGTCAGTAAATTCCGCCTGGATCGATGACAACAACTGTAAATTCTGCACATAAAATGTATTTCTAAATGAACATTAAAGTGTTCAGGCTAGAAACAACAAATTCAAATAAAATGACAATCCGACGGAAAAGTGCGACATCTTTGATTTAATTATTTTGATGAGAGCCTGAATTCACAACGATGCCTCTCACATTATAATATTTATATCTCATTTTGTCAATCATAACTGAAATTACATTTGGTGAAATGATAATGCGTTAAAAAGAACACTGCAAACACAATTTTGAGCAATTCTGGTAAAAAATAACTGAGAAATTATATATTGTTTTTCCCCAAAAAACATTTGACCTACTTTGGCAGATACACAGTGAAAATAGGACATGGATGATGTGTTTTGTTCATTCATTTCACGTCAGCGCTCCACTTTCATCGTTTGTTGCTACTGGCTTATGTAAAGGAAAATTACATTCTGTTCCTTTGCTATTTTTAGAATATAGGAATATGTACATATACTACCAAAACAGATATCTTTATAAATCTATGTGTGTGTACTTGAACAATGAGAGAGGAAGGGATAGACAGAGAAGAGAGAGTGAGACAGGCAAAGAGAGACAGAGGGAGAGAGAGAGAGTGATCTCTGTATATATAATATAAT